AACATAGAATTTTGGGCAGTTATCACATGCTTCAGCCCTGAAGAATCTGGAAAATTTGCTTCAATGAGAGAGAGAGACAGACAGACAGACAGAGACAGAGACAGAGAAAGACAGACAGAGACAGAGACAGAGACAGAGAGAGAGAGAGAGAGAGACAGACAGAGAAAGAAACAGAGAGAGACAAAGACTGTTGACACAGTGTAGGTTAGATTTGAAAAAGTGTTACTTTTCTGGCTTCATCCGATCACTTTGGGTTGTTATTTAGGCCACAGTCTATCCATGTCACTGTATTCCTAAACTATAGAACCTGCTCTCAGAACATGGAAGGTTAGCCATTCACTAGCTTTGGCTTAATCATTTAGAAACCAAGAAGTTTCATAACAAATGGGGACTCCTCCAAGCTGTTACCAGCTTAGCACAGAAAAATCTAATTCCAAACCTTTAGGAATATAAATAATTGTGATGTAGGCCAAGGCATGGTGGATAGAGAATTGGCCTTTGTGTCTGGGAGACCTGGTTTTAAGTCCCACTTTGGACACATACTGACTATGTGACCCAGGGCAAGTCACTCAGCTTCAGTGCTTGCCCTCAAGTGGCTCCCCAGACTACAATGCAGAGCGGGTGTCAACACACATTGTTAGAGGGAGCTTCCCATGGTGGAAGGTTCTGGAATTATGCAGATGAAATCTCAGATCCAGTCCTAAAATTATATATATTAGAATAGATTACATATAAACTATATTATATATTATATCTCACATAATTATAATTCTCATATAATTATAAATTATATATTATATATAAACTATGTATTATATTATATATACATTTATAATCATTATTTTGTTCATTTATGTGCCCAACTTGATTCTTTTGGAAATAAAGCGAAAGTGTAGGAATACAGTGAAATAAATGTATTAAGACTTTGACCGATTCTGCTAAAATGTCCACTTTTGTGGTTTTATTGGCAACTCCATTTGCCCAAGAGCACACTTAAAGAAGAAATAGAATTTACTTTGGCAGAAAGTAAGCTCGGTAAGATCACATTAAGAGTTGCTGTTAAGCTCCCATGATGGAATTTAAGGCAAAGGAATGAAAGGCAGATTTTGTCTTGGAATTTTCCAACAAATGTACCTCTATAGAGGGAAAACATAAGGCAAGATCTATAATAAGGAAACCAAATAACATCCCACAGGGAACCTGCCTAATATGGTGGTGAGGAATCTCATATCCTATCTTTCAGTTAGAGAGGTAGCCAATGTTGACCAAGGATGGTAAAAAGGGCTTTATAATACAGCTGACCACTGGATGGTATGGCAATCCAATGGAATTATAAAATCCTTGAGGGCAGGAACTATTTTGCTTTGTCTTTATGTATCTATCCCCTGGTACATAATAGGTGCTTAATAAATGCTGATTGAATTGAATTCCTTCCTCTTAGATTTTTTGTTTTCAAGTAATGTCCAGTGAAATTTCATGATGCCCTAGATGTTATGAAGACACACAACCATCTTTACCTTTAGGTACCTAGTAGGTACCCTCTAGGCCAGTATAGCAGGTATTTACCATCTAAGTCATTCCTCTTCTATTAATGTAGTTATTGATCTGATTTTGGATGACTGTTATGATGGATTCCTGTGATATCATTTGACACTAAGTCTATATAAGATTCTCAGCACAGATGCGTTTATGCCCATGAAGAGAAACCAGGATTAATTAAACAATCAAATACTCTTCATATGGGCATAGATTTAGAACTGGAAGGAACCTTGGAGATGTTCGATCTCCTCATTTTAAAGATTATGAAAGTATGGTGCAAAGGAATTAGAATCCAAACCTAGTAACTGACTTCAAACCCAGAACTCTTTCACCTGTACCTCAGAGTGGTAGAGTAGAAAGGGCCCTGAAATGGAAGGCAGAAGACCTGAGTTTGCTTCCCATCTCTGCCATTTCCCAACTGTGTGGTCTTACACAAGTTTACTTGACCTCTCTGGGCCTCCTTTGTAAAATGAGGAACTTGTAGAGATGCTTCATAAGACAGTCTCTCCAGGCTTTAATATTTTGTGATTTGGGTCTTCATCAATGTGCTGCAGAGACAAGAAGCTAATCAACTGCAGAAGAAGTTCATTCTAGAATTAATTGTCTTTAGATCCTATGCGGTACAATAGAAAGAATTGGATTTTGTGTCAAATAACATAGTTCTCAATGGCGGTCTTGGTGCTTTCTACCCATAGGCAAATCATCTAACCTCTTATAACCTCAGTTTCCCCATCCATAAAATAAGGAGGTTTGAGTAGAGGACCTCTGAGGTCCTGTTCATTTCTAAATCTATGTTCCATTTTTTGACAGTTCTAATTAAGAAGTGCTTTATCTTCTGTATGTCTTCATATGTTATTTATTTTAATCAAATTAAATTATCTACCTACAGGCCATAAAGTGATTTTGTCCCTTTCAATACTAGCCTGGCTTTTCTGTTGTAAGCATAATGGTAACTGGGGGAGGACAGAGATAGCCTGGGTATTGTGCTTTTTGTAGTGAGGATGGAGCTGGTGGGGATGGATAGGAAAGAAATTGACTGTTTTTTTCAGGTCATCTCTAGGTAAGCTCCCAATGAGAGGGCTCCCCAGACAGGTTCCTAACATTATTTGTTTTCGTTAAATTTCTACTGGCACCACCCTCTAGAAAAGGGAAAGTGGGTATTTTCTTCTCTGAAAATTGAATCCATAAGGTCATGATCTTTTCCTCCCCTCTTTCTTCCCTGGTGACAACTGATCTATTGATCTCTTCAGAGGCTTTTAGTTCACATCATATGAGGTAGCCTGAAGGAATTCAGGATATTTAGCCTGGAGAAGAAAATAATTGACAGGATATGCTAACTGTCTTCACGTATGGGAAAGGCTGGAACAGAACATGTGGAATAGAAATTAAACTTGTTCGGTTCACACTAGAAAGCAAAACCAGGAGCAAGGAAGAAAGTTGCAGTGAGGTAAGTCTAGGCTTGATGTCAGGAAAAACTTCCTAACAATGAAAACTGCCCATCTTATTGTTGTGGCAAGGAATTGGATGCTGAGGGGGTGCCCATCAATGGGTGAATGGCTTAACAAGTGTGACGGAATACTGTTGTGCTATAAGAAATGATGAAGGGGATGGTTTCAGAGAAATCTGGAAAGACTTGAATTAACTGATGCAAAATGAAGTGAGCAAAACCAGGAGAACAATCTACAAAGTAACAGCAATATTATAAAGACAAGCAATCTTGAAAGATTTGGGGACTCTGATCATTACAATGATTAATCACAATGCCAGAGAACTAATGAAGAAACATGCTACCCACCTCCACATAGAGAAGTAATATACACACATGTATATCTATGTATATCTATATATCTATATCTTTCCTTTAAGAAAGAGGTATTACACTGACTACCAAACTGAAGGTCTACAGAGCCATTGTGCTGACCTTGTTGTTGTATGCCTGTGAAACCTGGACAGTCTACCAGTACCATGCCAGGAAATTAAATCTCTTCCATTTAAATTGTCTTGGGAGGATTCTGAAGATCACCTGGCAGGATAAGATACTAGACATTGAGGTCCTTTCTTGAACTAAACTGCCAAGCATTCAAACTCTACTTCAGAGAGCACAACTCTATTGGACTGGCCACGTTGTTCAAATGCAAAATGTAGGCTTGCCAAAAAGAAAATTTTATGAAGAACTCACACAGGGCAAGTGTTCACATGGTGGTCAGAAGAAGCGATACAAAGACACTCTCAAAGTCTCTCTTAAGAATTTTGGAATTGATTGTGTGACGTGGGAGACACTGGCACAGGACCGCTCATCATGGCATGCCTGCATCAGAGAAGGTGCTGTGCTCTATGAGCAAAGCAGAATTGAAGCAGCTCAAAAGAAACGTGAGATGCGCAAATTTAGAGACTCTACCCTAAATGTTCACATGGACTATTTGTGCCCAACCTGTGGTAGAACATTACGAGCTTGTATTGGTCTGATCAGCCACAGTCAGGCACACAACTTGACTGTAATAATAGTGATGTCATGTTGGTCCTCTTCGAGAACAAAGGACAACAACCGACCAATCAATATCTCTATCTATCTATCTATCTGTCTGTCTATCTATCTATCTATCTATCTATCTATCTATCTATCTATCTATCTATCTATCTATATTTACAAGACCAATGTGGAATTTGTTTTGTTTGATTATACACATATTTGGAACAAGTTTTTCATACTTTCTCAGTGGGGAAAAGGTTAGAGGAGAGAATTCAGACACTAAAATAAAAAAATGAATTTTAAAAATTGAAAAAAGAAAATTGAAAAGAAATTGAAGGAAAGAAAAAGAAAATGGAAAAAAAAGATAATTCGAGGTGTCCAAAAAGTGGAATAGGCTGCCATGAGAGGTGGTCTTCGAGCATAGGCTGGACAGCTACTTGTCAGGCACATTAAAATAGGAATTCCTTTCATTATGAGTTGGACTAAATGGTTGCTGAGGTTTCTTACAACACTGAAATTCTAAAATTCTGGGATTCTAATGATCTCAATCATAGGGCCTTCTCTCTTGATTGGTGGGTCCCTAGCCTAGACCACCATTTCATGAAGGGCCCCATCCATGCTCACTTTACTCCTGGCCCAACTCACTCTCTGGATTTCTCCACTTTCTCTCAAGCAAGCTTGCCTTTCACTCAGAGAGACTCCCCTCCCACCTCCAACTCCCTGACCCCCTTCCAGTTATCCTTTATATATTATCTTCCTCATTACAATGTAAGCTTCTTGAAGGCAGGAATTATCTTGTTTGCATGTATTTATATCCCTAGAATTTAGGGCACACAGTAAGTACTTAATCCAAGTATCTATCTATCTATCTATCTTTATCATCATTGTCTTCATCAATATCATCATCTGTCTAGTGCACTAGGTACAAACTCTGTACCTCAGGTGACTCAAAGTATAAAGACACAATCTTACACAAAATTTAGACCATTGAACAGTCCCCCCCCCGCCAACTAGGACTCCATTGTTTTTACTCTTTCTCTAATTTCTAGAGCCTTCTAGCCCTGCCTCACCTGTACTGCTGGTCTACCCTACTTCTGTCTCTAGTCTTGAGCTTCTAGCATCATTCACTCGGCTCCCTGAGTCCTTAGAGGACAAGAATCTAATCTAGGCCTCCAGTCTATCTTCTTTGGCCTTTTGACCCACTGACAGCCATCTACCCTCACAGCTTCTCATAGGAAGCCTATCATTTACCTTTTTTGGATCCCTGAGCACCCTCTTTCCAAATCAGTTTCCCTAAACTGCTTCAATCAGCATATCATGGATTTCCTCTGGGTCTCTTTCTTCTTTTTTCACCTATCATAGCTTTTTGTACTTTTCTTGCAGGATGATTACCCCAGCCTTTCCATTTTCCATCAGTTCATCCTGTGCTCTTATTTTTCTGATCCCAGAGTTTTTCCAAAGGCTTCTGAATTGTTATTTTCCTTCTCCTTCATTAAGTGGCTTCCCCAGTGTCCCACATCTAGTAAGTATTTGAGGCTGGGTTTGAACTAAGGTCCTTCTGACTCCAGGACTGGTGCTCTATCCACTGTGCCACCTAGCCATCCCTAAGCTTCTTTTCTAGGACCCCTAAAAATCTCTTTGTTTCTTCACCTAGGTGGTTTAGCTTCCATCCCCTATAATATAAACCCCTATGCCATCCTCATTATCACCATAATTTGATATGCTAGATATATCATTAAGATGTCAAAGAAAACTTCTTTTAACTCATTTGTATTTCATTTTAATTTTATACTCAGGTTCCAGAGAGGCTGGTTTCTGGTTCAAATGAGATAAAAAATGTAAGGCTTGCACTTAGCACAGTGCCTGGTACAGAACGAGTGCTATATGAATGTGAGTTACTATGACCACCACCATCACCATCATTATTATCGTTGTTATTATTCCTACTTCTCTGACTCATGGCCTCAGCTCAAGGGCAACCTGAAAATATCAGTGACTGGCACTTCTCAAGCATACCATTCCTCTTTCAAAGCACTCAGGGTCACAGCCTCAAAACATATTAGTTTTATGAATTTGAACACCAGGTGGTGCTACTAGTCCCTAACCTGTTGCTGTCCACAATAAAAACCAGGTAGTGGGAATTTTGCATTTATCTCCATAGTTATATGCTTCACCAATACTAGAAGACAGTTGTCAAGGTCTCTATGGTTAGCAGAAAAGTGTCACCATTATCTCTCCAGCTCTTCCTCTTGGTTGGTGACAAATATTTATCTCAATTATCTCAGGAGTGTGGTCACTGAAGATTTATCCAATCAGAATAGCTTTTGAACCACTGTCCCACATGAGCAAACTCATCCCTCCTTCCAGGACCTGCTATATTTCAATAAATCTCAATCATGGGAACATGGTCTCCCATCAGTCACTCTACTGGAATAACATGCCTCCCCCTGGATAATGTGAAATCTAATCATCATGAAGATTGACTCAGCTTTGATACTCAACACCTCCTCAGAATCTTCAGTTGTCTCTCCCCTCTAATGGGAGGGCTGGAGGGTAGAGGAGTAAAAACCTTCCCTTATAGAGGGCTCAGAATATTCCAGCTAACTCTTCATTTCCTATCAGCTGATCTACAGAATATCATACACTCACTCTAATACCTATCTCTTCCAGTCTTTCAGCTTCCTTCTGTGTACTGTCTTCCCCCATTTCTTTTTTTTAAATTTGTATCCCCAGTGCTTAGCACAATGCCTGGCACATAGTACTTGCCTAATAAATATTTATTGGATATTGACATGTTAAAAATGGATTTAGCTGCACAATTATGATTACTGTATATGGTATCTCTACTCACTACCAAAAATCATTAGAAGGAATAAAATCAAACAAATATTAAAATAACCAAAATGTTTCTGGTTATATACCTACTACTGGACCCAGGCCATCTACAAGTAGTCTAAGGCACACTCCAAAAAGTTAAACAACATTTCATCAGCTCCTTCCCCTTGGAGTGAACAATGTCCCCAAGCACTATTACATCTCCGGGAAAATCAGAGTCCAGTCAGTTGAGGAAATTTGTGAATCACCTGTGTCCTGTTCCTTTTTGTGATATGGATCTACAATTTGGAGTTAGACACAAAACCCTCCTCTGGATGATGCTTCTCATTGCTGACTGCTCTGTTCTCACTACTCTCATTGAGAACTAGATCCTTCCTGCTCAAAGACACCTCAGCCTCATAACAGAAAATTGTTGGCAGGGACGGAGCAGACTCTCTATCTCCACTGCCAGGTTGCCTTCTGTTCATACCTATGTCCTCCTATGTCCTTGAAAACTTCATTACACTTTTCCCCTTTGTTGCCACATCCTAGGATTTTTATCTTGAGTTACTCTTCTTTTTTCATAATGTCAGGGCTTCATGGGCATGGACCACTCTCAGAGGCTTTGAGAGGGGAGTCAATTCAAGCCACAGAGCCCATGCTCATAAACTAGAGCATAAATATAATGAGGCATAAATGTTTTAACTAGATGGGTATGGAAGGGACTTGAATTCAAGCCCTCTGAGAATGGAGAGATTTTCCCCAAGGGGCCACCTTACCACAGAGAATCTCTTTTGCGGGGAGTTCCTTCACCTTTCAGAAGATGATGCATGCCACCTTTCCACAGGGGACCCACTCTCTAACAGGTGTCCCACCAGGAGAGGCCATGCTTGTGACTCTGGTCCAGCCCAAATGTGTTTGTAACTTTAAAAGCCTACATCCAGTTTGGGTGCCTGTGTTTAAAAAAATCTGCTACGGGACAGTTGGCTTCCATAGCCTCATCCTCACAGACAAAGATTCTTCACGTGGAAATGAGCGCACCTTTTCTTGTAGACTGCTTGAATGGACCTTTGCTATCCACTCCTGGTCAGCTGCTGGTGAGTCAGTGCTATTTGTCTCATCCCTCTGCCAGTGCCTGCTTGGTGGCTATCCTGTTCATGTCTCATTAAATGCTTTTGCTTTCCATTTATTGTGTCCTCTCGAAAATCCTACATCTGAGGGGGCTTACTTTGGTTTCTGAAATGCGGACCCATAGAATATCTTGACTATGGGGGTAGCCATTTTCTGGGAGATTCACTTGTTAGTTATTGGAGTCCTATCAGTCACTATACCTGTATTTCACTGAATCTGGGAAATTCATATTCTGTTAATTGAGTGCTTTAGACCTCTAGGCTCCATTTGCCCTAGTATTTTCAGTAGCATCTTATCATATTCTCCTATTTTTCTGCTATAGGGATCTGACAGTAACTGCTAAATATTTTAGGAAGAGGACAAGCTTTCTTTAGGACAAGAAGGCAGAGAAGAATGGTACACCCCAATCTCTCCCTCCCATTCTCTATAGATTAGTGACTGAATCTCTGGCAGCATTAAACAGAGCCAAAATATGAGGTGGTCTTCTTACCGTCTGCAGTACTGGGGAAACAACAGCTAACCCAATCTGCCCTTTAATTGATCTAGGGAGCCAAACATGAACCAAGTGAATAAATGTTCAGAAACAAAACTAAACAAGACACATTTAGCCAGTTAAAGTGACCTCAGTGAAAAGATAATGGCAGAATAACATAAGATTTTATTCTGGAGCGTGAACACACTAGGCACTGAAACAATTTCATTTGTATACTACCAGAAGGGTGTCTCTTTGATGATGATGGTACTGGTGATGGTGATGATGACTGGGCAGTAAAAAGACCACTGCCCACTGTGGCATGGCTGATGGGCTATCTGAGGAGCTGCAGGAAAAGCTGTTGATGATTGGAAGAACTTTGCCTTTTTTCTAATGAAACCTCTCATTTCTGGGACTCATTGATGTGTGGGCAGTTAGTGTTAGCATTCCACTGAGCCAGGCTACACCCTTAGGGTTTCCAATTTATTGCCTGACTGCAGGACCAGAAGATAATCACAGCTGAATTTGTCTGGCTCTGTTCAAAGCCTTGCTCCACAGCTGTGTACAGAGTCCTACAGATCATTAACTCTGCACTGTAACCTCTACATCATATATCTCTATTTCAATTAACCAGTTTTTCAGAGGGCTCATAGGTGAGTTATTGTAATGTTTGAGAAAATAATTCAGATGAATCTTTTGACCTAAGATGCCTTGAGTGTTGTGTTCCAATGCAAATAGCAATGAGCATGGGGTTAAAAGACCCAGATTTTAATTTTGGTGCTACCATCTAATAGCTATGTGACTTGAGGCTGCTAGATAGCTCAGTAGAAAGAGCACTGGGCCTGGATTCAGGACCAACTGAGTTCAAATTCAGCCTCAGCCACTTACTAGTTGTGATACCAGGAAAGTAATTTAACCTCATCTGTAAAATAAGAATAATAACAGCACCCATCTTCCAGCGTGGCTGTGAGGAAAGTCATTTAAACTCTGTTTGCCTCAGTTTCCTCATCTGTAAAATGGAGATAAATAACACCTACATCCCAAGATGGCTATGAGGATGGATCAAATGAGATAATACTTAAGTAATTAGCACATAGTAGGTGCTTAATAAAAGCTTGTTACCTTCCTTTACCATATCACTTAATTTCCCGGGGCCTCAGTTTCCTCATATATCAAATACGGGAGTTGGACTAGTTTATAGGATCATAGATTTACAACTGGAAGTTGACCTTGGGGGCCATCACGTGCAACATCTTCATATTAAAGATCAGGAAACAGATGACCTGAGGAATTACATAGGTCAGAGAGGGAGCAAATGACAGAGGCAGGATTTGAACCCAGCTCCTCTGACTTAAAAGTCAATAGTCTTCTCCTTGTATCATACTGATTTCTAAATTCTCTTCCAGTTCTGTCATTTTATGGGAAATTATCAAATTCCAGGGGAGTAATTAGGGAAACAGCAGAAAAAAAACTGGGTAAAAGGGACAATACAGTTGTACCATCATTAAATAACATTTTTTAGCCAAGTTCTCTCAGTCTTCTATCAGCTTCAGCTCCCTTAGAAACTATATTAGCATATTCAAAGGAGTTTAGGTTTTAGAACTGGATAGAACCTTACTGATCACTTAGTTTAGCATTCTCATTTCACAGGGAGGAGACTGAGCCACAGAGAAGAGAAGTGACCTTGGCAAAGCTAACACCAGGTCCTAGGACTTCAGAGCTGTTAAGTCCAATCCATATTGGAAAAAGAAACACAATCACAATATGTGGAAGTCTAGCTGTCAGGCCCTTGCTTAAAGACCTCAGGTGAAGGGTGAGCTGCCTTTTCCACTTTTCGATAGCTCTGATTTCAAAATTTTCATAAATTAGATCTTCTTTCTCCAAATCTAGCACTATGTCCGGGATAGCACAAAGCAGCTAGAGATAGGGAAGGCAACAAGCTGTGGTTGATAAAGGGACTTGGGGTCAGGCTGATCTGGTTCAAATCCCTCCTCAGACACCTACTAGTTGCGTGACTTCTCTGAGCCTCAATTTCCTCATCTGTGAAATGGGAATTAATAATAGCACCTACCTTACAGCGTTGTTGTGAGGATGGAATGAGATAATATATGTAAAGTGCTTTGCAAACCTTAAAGTTTATTATTATTATTATTATTATTAACTATGTGTCTCTTCTGTCCAAATATCACAAGGTGATCTGGTCTCTTTTATCCAAAGACCATGAGATGTTTTCTTTTCCTCCTCGTTAAACCCGTATCTTCCTTTTCCTCCTTACTCCAATCCTTTTGACAATGACTGAAGCAGCAATGGTGAGAACAGCAGTCCTGACTTCCCAGGGACTTGTCCTGACTCTGGATTTCAAAGGGCAAAGAGGAGGTTGGTTCCATCCTTGCTATGCTACATATCGGGCACATATCAGCTTCTTTCAAGTTTGGGTTATTAAAGCCACCCGGGTCTGGTAGGGCCCATCCTCTCTCTCTCTCTCAGTATTGGACAGCCCCAGGCCCCTGGGTAACTCATCCTAAAGCCAGGTCAACCCAATGTTTGGGGAGGAAATGTTGAAAAACAGCTGTTACTGCACATCAAGAAAAGAAACTGGCTTAACAAGCAAGTAAGGAACCCTGAATGAGTCTGCCTGATTTATCTGCTTGCATAAATAAGGCTGTACCAGAAGTATACAGTAGAAGAGTCCATCCAGTCACAAAGCCAAGCATGGGAAGTGGTTCTACATTTCAGGGCCACAGTTTGGGTAACTATGAAAAGAGGGGCTTGGACTAAAGGATCTTTAGAGTCCTTGCAAACTCTGAAATCCTATGAAACTCTGATTATATGAAGGCTAAGAAAAACAAATAAAACATGAAATATTTCAGGTGAAAATGTTTTTGTTCTGAATTTTCTGCATGAGCATCACTGTGCTTTATATATTCAGGTACAACCTAAGTTAATTGTTTTTTTTTAAATAAGCACTCCTTTTTATGGTATTTATTTGCATTTGATTTTGCCTTCTCCATATCCATTTCTTTTTTGTTTTAATTTTTAGGCAATTTTAGGCAATTGAGGTTAAGTGACTTGCCCAGGGTCACACAGCTAGTAAGTGTTAAGTGTTTGGTCTGAGGTCAGATTTGAACTCAGGTCCTCCTGACTTCAGGGCCGGTGCTCTATCCACTGCGCCACCTAACTGCCCCTCCCATATCCATTCTTACAGGAAAGGAGACAGCATAATCTTAAGAAAAGACTCAAGAAAATGAATTTCTAGCATGCTTATTAGCTGTGTGACCTTGGATAATTCATTTAACTTATCTGTCTGCTTCAGTTTCCTCAACTATAAAGCAGGCAAAATAATAGCACTTATCTTCCAAGGTTGTTTCGAGGATCAAATGAGATAATATTTGTAAAGCCTTGGCACATAGTAGATGCTTAATAAATGCTTGTTTCTTTCCCTTCACTGAGAATAGCCATTTTGTTGAGCCCTTTGAGAATTCAAGTTCTGACATGTTTTGAGGTTAATTTGTATATGTGAAAAGTATATTTTATTTAGTTTTCAAATACTAATGTAACATAGTATGTTTGCTAGAAAAGTAAAATTTATATTAAACAAAAAAAAATATGCATTTTCTTTTCCCTGTGACCAAATAAGCTTCAAAATTCCACAGTATATCTTGTGATGTTATGTCATATGTCATGGGGCACTCTTTAAGAACCACTGCTCTCCTTAAATACTTCCAATCGCAGGGAACTCATATGACAACGATTATAATTTGAAACAAGTTGTACTGTTAGATATTGAGCCAAAATCTGTCCCTTTATGTTGTTTAGCTGTTTTAATCATATCTGACTTTTTGTGACTCCATTTTGGGGGTTTTCTTGGCAGATACTATAGCTATTTGACATTTCTTTCTCCAGCTTATTTTACAGCTGATGAAACTGAGGCAAAGAGGGTTAAATGACCTCCTCAGGCTCACACAGCTAGTGTCTGAGGTCAGATTTGAACTCATGACAATGAATCTTCCTGATTCCAAGCCCAGTGAAACTATCCATTGTACCACTTAGCTGCCCTCTGTCCCTTTGTATCCTCCCACAATTAATCTTATTGCTATTCTCTGGAAATAGATAAATAAGTTATAATCCTCCTATATGACAGGCCCTCCAAATATTTGAAGACCATTATCATGTCCCTTTAATATTCTTGTCTCTAGGCCAACCCCGCCCCCCCCCCCCTGGTTTCCTGAACTCTTCCTTGTTTAATCCATCCTACTGTTCTCCTTGGGATGGACTCTGGTTGGTTAGTGTTCCTCCTCAAATGTACCACCCAGAACTGACAGAGCACACTGAATGTGGTCTGAAGAGTGCAGAGCACATGAGGAGCTTTGCTTTTCTTATTCTGCCCATTGTTCTTTTAATAATGTAAGGTGTCATGGGATTGAGAGGCAGCTGTGGCATGGTGGATAGAGAGCTGATTTCTGAGTCAAGTACCCTATCTGTTCAAAAATTCAC